TACAGTTATTTGGCGGATGTGTGGTAGAATAATGGGTACATACCGGGAGATTTGTCTCCCGATATGTACCCGTTATTTATTGATTCAACCTGTGTAGATTGATTAAAATAAATTAATAGCAAAGTAAATCCGAACCTAAATATATAGCTTATTCCAAATATATAGTTCAATTAATAAATATTCATCGCTAAAAAAACTTAGAGCCTAAATATCATTCAAAATACTGTACGTACGTTAGTTAATAAAATTAACAATACTATTTACATGCTACTACATTTGTAATTCTTTTGCTTTCTAAGACTTTAACCTGGTCAAGTTGTTTTTTTGATTTAAAACTATATAAGGAAAATCAACTTTAGAATCGTTCGTAAGAAATTAATTGGAATGATCGAAACTATGAACTATTTGTATCTAATAGCAAGTGAATAAATATCTTGGAACGTAAAAAAAAATATAATGGACTATCGTGTCAATAATTATAGAACCCGATTTATTTCCAGACGATTTGCGATCAAATATTTGAGGTCAAAAACTTGATCCTATAAACACCTTTTAAAATTTAAAAAATTAATTATTGTCCGGGGCGTAGCGAAGGACTTACATTCTATGCTTAATTTGATCACTGTGTCCGGATGTCCCGCACGTGATCTATTTGCTAAACTATGATTGGGTAAAAATCTGGATGTCCCGCGCGTGATCTACTTGCTAAATTATGATTGGGTAAAACTCTACTACCACCACATGATATACTAAATAAACAGTGATTGAGTAAAAACGACATCAGCATGCCCGGATGTCCATACTGTACAATAAATACAGAAATACGTATTATTATAGGGTATATGTATATATATAATATATAATTTTGTATAATTTGCTCCGGACATTAACAGATTCTGTTAACCTAGTATAAAGTTTTTGTACTAGATAAGGCTATTTTAACTTCTAAATAAAGTTGCTTTCTAAATCAAGATGATTTTAACAATGATAAAATTATCACAATTAATCTCTGAAGTTCGGACAACGTTTACATTGATCAGCAGATCATGTAAATACTATATATATATAAACAAAACGTTATTTAACTTCGGAGATCAATTGCGAACGATCTACTGGGCCGATTTTGATTATTTTAGAACTCATACAGGGAGATCCCCAAAATTCCTGGTCGGAATGCATCGGAACATTGGCCGGATAGGCCAGAATCGATCAATTTTGCTCAAGATCACTAAGAATTTTACTAATGAAACCATAGTCATTCATTAAGTAAAAAATGCCCAGCTGATAATTTTACTATACCTCCTGCTAACCGGAATAGCTAACCATAACCCTAACCACGACGCATTCCGATGCATTCCGACCAGGAATTTTAGGGATCCCCCTGTAAAAAATCTGCAACGAAATGATTTACAGGTTTTCACGTCCCGTCACTCATATATAAATAAAGTTACGTATAGTAACAATAAAGAATAATTCTTTTGTTCACAGGTCTTAATAAAATTAGAATTTTATTAAATAGAATACAATGTAAATATTGTATTGGGAAATTTTCCCATTCCTAAAACCTACGTACGTACGTATCTCTGATTAAATTTAATCGGCAAAACTTTAATTTTTAACCAACTTATTTTATAAAAAACACTGTTTATGGTTGAGAGACTTAAAATTTGGCAGCACACATTGTTACACAAAAACAATACATTATATTGTAATATTATTCCCATTAACGATAATACACGCCAAAATTTCTTTTTCGGCATTATAAATCAATACTTATTAAATTTTCTACGTAGTAAAAGAGAAAATACAATATATGTAAAAGTACAAACCTACGTAGGGTTGGAACCGGTTTGCGCAACCCGAATTTACAACCCGATTCGAAAATCGGTTTTAATAAAACCGGAGTTTAACTCATAATGATACCTATAGTACTGTAGTAAGACTCTTCATTATTTTTGTTAAATCTCTATAAAAAATAAGCAACTTAAAAAATTTATATTCTTAATTGTTACAACATTTGTAGGTTTTTTAAAATTCTCACACATGAAATATGTCATGTTTTCTTAAATATATCCATAAAGGTATTCTTTGATATTTTTTCTCGTAAAATAGTATGATTTAATAACCACCTTTATACCAGCATTTAAAGTTGAAAAACTTGCGAAACAAGTATTTAATAATATTGCTATGTGTGTGAAAATTAGTAAGAATTATCAACTGAACCATGTGTTTAGCGCCTTCATCCCTTCCAGAGATTCTTCAAGATGAAGAAACTGCTCGCATTGTTTATCGTGCTATGAAAGAGAGTCCATTTCCTGATGATTTGGCATTAGTAATTAAATGGGATGATAGAGGATTTAATGATGTACCGATGGCTCCTGGCTGTCGTAACGGTATAGCCGGTCAGACGATAATTACTCACACTCATGGCAAATGGCGCAGTTGACATTTACGGATTAAATTTAGTTTACATGTTTAGAAGTCTGGATGCACTTAGCCAGTGTGAAGATACAATTCCCGCATGGTTCGAAAATTTTATTTACTTTAATATCATTTTACCATTTGTTCATTTTTTATTTTTTATTTTTTTTTTTTTTTACTAAAGGTTATATCTTCAACAGCAGCAGATAATATCTTTTAGTTCTAAGATTCTTACAAAAAAGAATTTATTTGCATATAGATCAGCAAATTTCCAAGTCATTTTAGCAGATTGGTAGAATTTGTAAATTTAATAAATAAATAAATAAAAGTTCAAATTTTAATATAATGATTCTTGCGTATATAGTGAATATTTATGTTTATTTATTTATATTATAAATGGGATTTTCGAATCAACAAAAATCCGGGTTGATTCGGTTTTGCGAATTTATTAAAACTGAAAAACCGAATCAACCCCATTTTATGGAGACGATTAAAACCGAATTACAAAAATAAAATCGGTTCCAACTTCAACTTCTAAACGTACGTATATAAATTAAATTAAAATTAAATTGATATATTAGAACTTCCTATTAATGGTTCGTGGGTCGAGATTACCCGCTTATTGGCAAAAGATGAAGTAATTTCCATTTCTTGAATTTGAGATATATTATTTCTTAATAAAAGTTCATATAATTTAGTGTGCGCACCCATAAGCTGACCATCTTTTGCGATAGTAGCGTTAGAGAGCACTGGACTGTTGTCAATAGTTCCGTTGATCTATATAAAAGTTTTTTTTTTTTATCAGTCAATATATTTTTAGTAATATTTAGAATAACATAAATTCATAATTTGAACAAACCAAGTCTTTCATAAATGGATAGAGTGATCTGCTGAAATGCTCACTACTTTCAAGAGGAATTTCTGTAGGCAGAATGTCTACAGCCATGATTTGTGTCCCTTCACCTTCATCTCTAATATATATATATGTAGGTAAATTTAAGTTGAATATTTTTTCGTATGTATAATAAAAAGTATATTGCCTACTTTTTATGTTCCATTTCTTTGACAGCATCAAAATAAAAGAATGGATCATCAATGGTCGTCGAATGAGAAAATTCTAAAGCACCCTAGTAAAGAAAGAAAAATTTTAATTTGCACTAGATTTTACAAATAAGTGAGCTTTTTAAATTACTCACTTCAATATCGCAGCTTATATCAGCGATGCACAACAATCTGCGATTATTAGAATTTTCCTGTATCTCGCGAAGTTGTTCCTTGGTAATAAGTCGAGGGAATCGCGAATCCCAATAGGAACCATGAATAAGCATCGACGTGTACGGAGCGATCTATGAAGAAGTTATAGTGAGCAAAAACGAAGATCACATGGCTGAACGAGAAAGATCTACCTTTGTATGAAATAATGATTTATAATCTCTAGGGTTTTCATAATAATGACGTTTTGTATCAAATTTTCCAGTATCTGTTCGAATTAGATAGTCTTGAAGATACACTTGACAACCGTATACTTTATGGTTACTAAATTTGTCTGTTTAAAGTGTAAAAGATGCAAATTAATAACAGAAAGTGTTACAAGTCATGTTACGTGAAATACGTACGAGGCGTCATGACACATTCTTTCAAATCTTTTACTTGAATATATTCGTGCGGCAGACATTTGAATATTTGTTGCACGCCCTATTAGACGTTAGTTTAAACAAGAGCTTCAAAAAAAAATAATAATTAGAAATTTAAGGAGATTCATTTTTTTACATTAGAAACGTTTCCAGTTCCAGTAAAGACAAAAGTCATAGGACTAAAATCATTTGGAAGGCCTTCATCAGCAATTGTAGCACCTATATCTTTAACAGTGGATTTTGCCGAGTCTAGAGATCTATATGTATGAGACATAGCGATATGCTGCAAATAAAAAAATATATACATGTTATTTATAAATTATATATGTTATTTTTGGACATATTATATGTACCATAAACGGAGTATTATAACCCAAGCCTAGAAGCCTTCTTCCCAAACCGTGAAGTCCATCGATCATTCCTATCACGCATTTTCGAAATGAATAAAAATACTGTAAATAAAGCTAATTACATATATGATTAGTTTTTTTTTTTTTTTTTTTTTTACCTACCAGCATAACCCGCATGCGTTCCAAATAGAACCAAACGTCGTTTTTTTGCATCAGTCATTAATTCCTAATCAATTAACCTAATTTTCTATATAGCGAAGATATTTAAGTAGGAACGTTTAAACATTTTACAACACCAAAATATATTTATGTTACTACCTTATCAAGTATATCTTGTAACATAGGCATATTATATAATTGGCCTTTATGAGTATGCGAAAAAAATATATAAGTTTTATTCGGGATCAAATGTTCGGTTGGAAAGGATTTGTTGAGGAAGTAATTGTTGGGGAAATTGATATCAGGGAAATGATAGAGATCCAAGTGAAATGATTTACAGGTTTTCACTTATATTTAGATGACTTTATATGTAGTTAATAAATTACAAAAAAGATATACACTATATTTTTATAAATAGATTAATTTATCAAATACGCAGTAAGAATTTTTATAGTTCATAAACAATACAATATTATTAATTAAGTGGTCCATCATTCCATTCAAATAATGTACTACAAGATTGTTCATATCTCGAAACTCGATTTCTTAACGGTCTTTGCCCACCTAACAAATCCGCAGTTTCAGTGCTGTGATGACAATTTAAAATGTATAAGCCTGTGTGTCGAGCTTCAGCCAACACTTGACACACTGATGTTTTGCCACATCCAGTTTCACCGATTAATAAGACGGGCTCATTAAACCTCAAACATTGCGCAACAAGCATGAATAATCGCTTCATAGCTTTTGTCCATACAATATTGTTTTGTCGATACATTTTAAACTCTTCCAATCTAGAGCAATCATATATTGAATTTTCATCAATAGTCACCTTCATTACCGTCTCTAATACTTGTTTAACGATTAATTTTTCGTCCGGCTTTCTTACTCTTTCTGCCAAAAGCATGAAACCTTGTTCTGCCAATTCTTTATAATCTATTGCACCTCTTTTGGCCCAACGGAATAAATCTCTTAATGTAATAAATCCATGCTGCTTTTCAAATATTCTCGTACTTTGACGTTGTTCCATGAGTCGTTTATAAACTTGAACCATACGTTTACAATGAGATGGTGCAATAGAACATTTTTCTGAAATAATAGTTTCTAATTCCTCTTCTGGAATATCATTGAAATGTATCTCAACAAATCGATTACGAAATGCACGAGAAAGTGCTTTACGACCAGCATATAATCCGGATGGATTTTGAGTTCCGAAAAGCATAAAGTCACTATGCGGTTTGACCATTTCTTGTGTTTCAGGAATAAAAAGTTCCCTGTTATCATCTAAAAGACGATTTAAAGCTTCTAATACATCAGTAGGTGCAAGATTTAATTCGTCTAATACGAGCCAATAACCTTTCCTCACAGCTTCAACAAGTGCTCCTTCTTGGTACTCAAGTTTGCCTTCACTATTTGTAACATAACTGCCAAGATACTCTTGAAGATCAGTATGTTCATGGTTATTAATTCTCATAAAACGATGATTAGTTTTTTGAGCCAAATAATGAATCATACTCGTTTTTCCAGCTGAAGTAGGACCTTGAAGCAATACTGGAAACTTACTGCTCATGACAACTCTCGCTAAATTGGTTAAATTTTTCATTACTGAAGGCGTTAATATATAATGTGACACTTCTTTTGGGGGATATTGTCCAATTTTTAACCAATAACATCCAAATTGGACATAATCACTGTTAGGCGGTTGTCGTGGAATTTGCGTAATTAAAGCTTTAGGATTATTGACACCATTTAATAAATAATTTTCAAATAATCCTTGCATTATTATTTCACTTTCTTTATTCAACTGCGTCAAAAATGTCATACAGAAACCCTCATAAATAGAACGTCTTAATCCATATATCGGCGTGATTTGAGAAACAACACTCAATGCCCGAGTAAGAGTTCTCATACTAAAATGAGGTCGTTGATTTGATCCATCCACAAGCTTATGTTGTCGTTGCAATTCCTTTATCTCCAAATAAAAATTAACGATTTCAACACATGCACGTTCTTCACCATGAATACATCCTGATAAATATTTTTTTACAATACACAACAAGTCATCCCGTCTACTATCAGGAGAATTAACATAAAACTCTGAAAACCGGCTGCGCAATCCCGGTGGAAGATCTCGCTTGCCCACATCAGTAGCAGGATTCATACATGCGAAAATTCTAAAATTTGGATGACGAATGATTGGCTTAGAATCACCTTTTTCAATTAATAATAATGAACTTTCTGGGTCTTGAAGAATGCCATTTAAACACTCTAACGTTTCTGTAGATGCTAAATTAATTTCGTCTAAAAGAATCCAATCACCATTTGTAACTGCATTAGCCAAAGAACCCTCAACAAATTTGAAAACAAAATTGTTACGTATTTGATCATACTGTTATTGGAATTCCTTAACAGAATTTTCAAATAATTTCCATTGATTTCTTAACTCAGGATTTGATACTTTTCGTGAATTCTTTCGTTCATCTTGACTTTGTTCAGTGTTAAAACTTTTCTCTGCTAATTTAATTGCTTCTTGCATTAAGGATATTAATTTAAAATATTTCTTGGTAACGTACATTTTATGTACGGTTTCCAAAAAACGATAATTCTTTTTCACAGAAAAAGTTTTTCCAAATAACTTATCAAACTCCTCTTTCAATGGTGCAACTATAGCTTTTACATCAACCGGCTTGAATCCGCCAAGAAGATCACTACTGTCACCTTGCTGTGACAAATTTACAACGATAAGATTTTGATGCATAAGCTCCGACAAATATTGAATCGTAGCAGTTTTACCGGTTCCGGTTTCGCCAACTAATAGGACAGGTTCGCATAGGAGAACACATGTTGAAATCTGTTCCAACAATTTTAAAGCATGTCCTGTGTTGGCAAACTGTTGTTTCTGCGATACACGTTTAATGTTTGTATATTTTTTACGATTCATTGAAACGAACTGAGCTCGTCCGATTATGACACCTTTCTCATCAATATTAATGTTCGGAGTGTAAGAATTTACAAAGTGTCGAACCCATTGATCTGTCAATCCTAAAGTTTCACCGAGCCTCTCTAATACCATGATCAAATTTTCATGATCGGATATCATGGCGCAAAAGCAATCCGCGGCTTCTTTGAAGAGTTCTTCTCGTACTCTACTTGAAAGACCTTGACTACCAATCATAAGATCATTTGAGCTAATAAAAAATTCGATCCTCCTACACCATTTCATCAAATCACGTGCAGATATAAACTTTAGTGTATTTGACGAAAACATTTTAGCATCTTGATAAATGGAAATTATAGTTTTATAAACACGTATAATATCGGGAACTAAAGTCCGTAAACCTTCATAACGATTTGCAATTATAAATTCGAGTTCATCAATACTTTGAGATTGAACTTGAATTTTTGTCCATAGTGTATTACTAATATCTGAATCAGTCATTTGCCTTTTTGAAATTTCACCATCATGGTCAGATAATAAATTTCTTGTCGCAAATAATTGGAAACCTTGCTTGGCAAGAATTTTTTCACCTTTGTCTGGAATGAAAAGTTGACCAGTCTCAAGTAAAGGAAATAAGATAGACAGCACATCTATTGACGCGAGATCTATGTCTTCAATCAAAACCCAATATCCATCACGCACGGCAGTTGTGAGGATCCCAGGCTGCCAACAAAATGCGGCTGGAGTAGACGTAGAAACATAAGTTCCTTTGCATCTGTCTGATCACCTAAATGAATCTTTACAAGTTCTATAATAATATAATTAATATAATAATAGATAATATAAATAAAGCAAATTAACAAATTTATATAGAAAATTTATTTACCTTCATCACGCCCAGTTGCAATTGCAATTTCTTCTATCAATGACGTTTTCCCTAAACCAGTAACGCCTTCAAGTAAAATTGGAGAACCCATAGAAAGTGCCAAACATATCGCATTTAAATTTCTTTGCGTGGTATCAGTCATCACAAGGCGTTGCTTCACTTTTGATATAGTATTTACTGAAGGATTTAACCTCTGCAGCAAAACCTTTGAAATTTTGACGGTTAACGGTGATAAATCATTGTAATATATGCGATCCTGTTAATGAACTGCCATAATCATTTTGGAGCAGATTAAACTGTTGCTTATAATGTATCACTTGGTCCAAAATACTGCAATATATAGTAAATACATTTGATATCATTTAATATGTACTATGAATGAAAAGAAAAAAAAAAACTTTTTAAAACAATACACATACGTTAACATTCGAACGTCTAGTGTTTCGCCATTTTCCCAATCTATCAAAATCGGATCATTTTTTGGACCAACCCATATACTATGCGCCCTTTCCTTTTGTTCATCACTCATACGAAAAACAATTCCCAAACAACACAAGGTTAGCTAACGAATAGCTTTATTCGGATGTGTTAACAATTGAGTGAGCGTAGACGGATCCCATGGACGAGAAAAAGTGGTCGTGGAA